TCAGCAGTGAACGGCCGAGCAGCAAGAGGACAGTAAGGATAGGTAGGCACAGCCGCCGTAGTCGGAAAACTGGGAAGGGTTTGTTCGAGAATGCGACTGACTTCCTGGAAGTCACGATGATCAGAATTAGTTGCCGTCGTCAAGCCAACATTCGCAAGCAGCCTCTTGGCCTCCAACACCGCACTGAGCTGCGCGTCCGACAGAGGCATCGAAAATTCGTGTGCGCCCTCCAACCCTCATATTTATCTCGTACAACACCTCCCTGAGCCTCCCTGCCAAAAGCCCGGCGGTAATCCTGACAAGACCTGGATGTCCATCCCGGACAGCCTTTGCGCGATTTTGTCGCGATGGAATGCCTGTGGGTCCAAAGGTATTTGAAAACAACCTGTTCAATAAACACTCATTTACCGCGACACCTCCCTGAGCCTCCCTGCCAAAAGCCCGGTGGTAATCCTGACAAGGCCTGGATGTCCATCCCGGACAGCTTTTGCGCGATTTTATCGCGATGGAATGCTTGTGGGTCCAAAGGTATTTGAAAACAACCTGTTCAATAAACGCTCATTTACCACGACACCTCCCTGAGCCTCTCTGCCAAAAGCCCGGCGGTAATCCTGAATTTCCATCCCGGACCGCCTTTGTGCGATTTTGTCGCGATGGAATGCCTGTGGGTGCGTCAATTAAAGCGATTGAAGCGCACAGATGTTCTGAATTCAATTACTCAGACTGCACATAAAAGGCTCGCTTCGACGAGTCGCATTCCCCATCCCTTTCCGACTACTCACTATGGATCCCTATGAACGCGAACTTGTGAATTACCAGAAGACTTCGACTGAGCTCCTGGCGTACTCCCGCCTGGCGGGAATGGCAGTGACTATGTCATGGTAAGTATCTTTCTTTCTGTCTTAATCTTCTTGGCGCTCATTGCTTTCAAGGCCGACTCACAACGGCGCACCGATAATTCCCAAGGGTTTCAAGAACTATCTTCGCACCAGGGGTCTTTTCATTGAATGTTTCTGTGGGTTTTCCTCGGATCGCCTCCATCCCAAGTCGTGCCAGTTGGTAGTATCAAATGTAACGGAGCATGTGCTGGCTTTTTGCCACTTCTCGAGTCCTCATTGCGGATTTAGAAGTATGGAAGCTCGTTACCTCTGATTTCAAATTATTGAACCAATATCTTCTAGTGGATCTAACCGAGATCTATGCTCGATCTCTGTTGCGCTCCTCTTACCCGGGGCTTCCGACTTTGGGTAAGTTTCTTTGGAACTATATTATGAACGTGTCTCAAGGAACCTAGCAACGAATCTCGAACCAGACACAAAGACACTGCTTGTAGCTTTCAAGCTGCGTCGTTTCCCACCTGAAGAAATAGCTCCGCACTTCGAAGGTTACTTAGGAGAGCATCGCTCTGATGGCTACCCTGCCAAAACTAAGCAGTTGTCGGGGCCACTTCTCAGGCACCGTCCTTCGAATACAAACGGCAAGTCCATTATTAATCCAACTGCCCCTCGGAACTTATTCCTTGCAGCCTCGAATCGCAGGCGTGCAAGCTCTCCATATGTGCGCCATCAGCAAACAATACCCAGATCGAATCCACGCTATACAGAAATTGACGACCTCCTCCCTGTACGCCAAGTCCAAACTGCACCCGCACGTACGCAGAATGCTATTGCAAGCTCATCCCGTGTTACGCTGGAGTCTGCCCCCCAGCGTCTTTGCGCAGCTCCTTTCCCTCTCCGGTTCGGCAGCGAGGAGGCGGAAGGGAAGGAAGCCAAGTACTTAAAAAAACTTATATCTGGCGGAGGAGTCTCAGAGGATGTATGGGATGGACTCTTCGAGAAGTGCACCAAATGCCGACGCCTCTTCACGGCCAGCGCGCTCAAGGGTCACATCAAGGTGTGCCTTGGGGAAATTATCATTCTCAACTAGACATTGCTTACGCTATTGTCGCTGTTTCTTGAAGAACTGTATGTAGAAGATGTACATAGAAATGAATGCGGCTTACCTAACTATAACAAATTCTACAAGAAAGTATCAGTCATGGTCGATGAACGGTCACCTATTGTATTCGCCTTGTCGGGTCTCTTATGTTAAGACAACTCGAGGGGTGCTTAGGACTGAGAAACACATAGGATAGAAGTACAGTTTGGGATCAGCTGAGCCACATATGTCACGCCTACCAACGGCAGACCTGTGTAGGACTCACAATATATTTGTTTTGTGGACGCGTTCGCAATGTTATACATTATCCCTTGATCCACACAAAACCAAACAGTCGGCTCGCTCTCAGGCAAAACAAACAGCCCACCTTGGCAAAAGGAAGGTAAAAAATGGGTTAAGTAGGGCTCCACGAATTGAATGCGAACGATTTTACCCGTTAAAGAGGCCAAAATTGAGAAGTCAGCGGGGGTTGTAACTTGCGACGGTTATGAGGCTCAATGAGAAACGTCCCCATGTACTGAAAAAAAATCAGGACACTCACACATAACCAATCACCCTCCCAAAATTGATACGGAAGTCTCCCGGAATGGTTCGACCCTGTGAGCCACAAATCGACGAACACGACGCGAAATGTCACAGGAGTGACATGTCACATACGTATCGGTCAAAGCGTCCTATCGCGTCCTCATTCCGTGTCCTTGCTATTCCGAGCCTTGCGCATACGGGTTTTTGCAATATGTGTTGGTTTTTCCGCAAAAATCGTTGCAAAACAATAAAAAACCCATATGTGTTTGATATGTGTCCGATTTTTTAGATATCTGGAGTCCCTCTGAGTCTCAAAAACAATGAGGAGACGAAACCGACCATTATTCGACGTTCGGGTATGCCTTGTGAGGCTCTGAGGGGTCCCCCGGGTCTTTGCACCGCTAGGACAGCAGGGAAGCGAAAATGTCGGAGATGAATCCCAAACGGAGTAAGATCCTGATGGGAGTTCTACCACTTCACTCAAGACTGCTCCCACTGAGCCCCTCGTGTGGTGGAGGTCTCCTCGTGCGGTGGAGGGTCTCCTAATTCGAAGACAATGGATGAACGACTGACAACACGACATACAACATGAGTTCATAAGCGAACCCTCCCCCACCGGCTCGCTTTTCATCTTCCACTTCCAAATTATAATTACCCCAGGTACGTACGACCTGCGCCACAGACGTCTTTCGACATCTCATAACGAAAGCTAACGAAAGCTCGGCAGCGAAGCCACCCAGCTCGACGTCTCCAGGGCAGAGGGCACCGCGGCGTTATAAGACACTGCCAGCGCAACACCGCAGCCGTGCAGTACTAGCACAGTTAGGTCTAGTCTAGTATAGATCCAAGCAGCAAATGCCGCGCTACGTGGTGATCCCCGACGTCAGCGAATTAATTATTTGTTTGCCGTGCCAGGTCATGGGCGGGGTGTTAATGTGGAGGCGCTGGTGGAGGGTGTGGTGAGGGTGTGAGGTGTGGTGCTGTGGTGCAGTCGGGTTTTGAAGGAAAGAAGAGCAGAGAAGAGAAGAGAAGCAAACACGGAAAAATGTTCAACCTCTCATGGCGAACCGATCGCGATCTGGTCAAACAAAAAAAAGTCAATATATTGTTCGACGAGGCCGTTCGGTGTCTAGGGCTTGCGCCTGCATCCGGAAAAGGTTACAGTCGTTCAACTTCGATCGAATTCTTTCTCTATCGAGTGTACGCACCGCTAAGTAATAATTCAACTTGTAACCTTCCGTTAATTTCATTACAGTTCAGTACTCAATTCCTATTGCGCTGTTATGCTATAGCATTATATACATGCTGTCGTGCTGCTGTTGATTAATATTACATTTTTGTGAGACGGAGAATCGAACTGTGTTAACGAGCACCAATGCATCTCTCAAAAGAAAAAAGTACAAGTACACCTCACTCAGACGAGTTCGACCCCTGGCTCGGCCAGGACGATTAGATTTGACAAGTTTAAGGATAAAATTTGCCTTTAATGCATCAATCTGACCGCGACTGCAGATTTCATTTCCGGGCGCTCGTACTTACAATAAGTATTGCGCCTGACTCCTCTGTGCTGTTGCTGTGAGATCCGTGCACCACCTGCACTTAATTTTGCAGGTCATTGTTTCGAAAGGCAGGATAAGACTCGGGATGATCTGAAATTGAAATTACTATGAGCTGCTGTGTAGACCTGCATCGACCCACATAGACGCTAGACACTGCCTATAAAACAAGGCGTTATAGCAGTTTGGAATTTTCCTGATGCTCACTTCTCTGTGCTTGAATTTTAACTGAAATTTTCGAAAATCAACAACCGTCCGGTACAACTCAGGAGTCGAATATTTTCAGAAGGAGAAAAGAATCCCGAATTCCGAATTCCGTCCCGAACCCGCCGAACATAATGTACCCGCGTGTGCATGCGCACCAAATCACATTCTGATGCAATTCGGAATTCGGAACTAATGGCGTTGTAAAACCAGATTCGAAGAAAAAACCAGGAAATGTGGGCCCATTCCTGAACGCTACACCCAAAGAAACAAACCATCGACGCCGTCGCCCATCGCCAGGAATTCAACAAACACCCATTGTTCGAAGGCCCAAAAAAATCCACACACGCCAGAGTACTACCACGGTCCCCGGTCCTAATCCTCCGACAGAGATTAGACAATTGCGTGCTCCTCGCAAATCCTTCTATTCGTTTTTGATTCTTTTTACCCGCCGGCCCACACCGGCCCGTGCGCGGAAAAAAAAAAGACAGCGTCAAGCCCAAGATTGATCCCATCAATTTTCGTTGATTCCATCTCCGCCCAAACGTCGGCGCTTCTCCCTTCCCTCCCCCTTATCGTAAATTCGCGAAAATATTACAGCGCAGGCGTGGGAAGGCCCCCCTTCGTTTGAGCACCTTTCGGAAGTAGCCGCACTTTTGCTAGGCGAGTTTCGAGTGATTTCGTGGCCAGGTGGGAAAAAAAAATGCTCGAGCTTCCAGGCTCGTTTCCGGAGCAAAAAAAGCAGGTTGTAGGGCCTTAAATAGAAAGGAAAAAGAATGGACAAACTGGGAATTGAACCCAGCACCTCCCGCATTACGTAAGCCGATGCGTTGCGAAGCGGGCGCGATAACCAACTACACTATTTGCCCCTTGAAGATAGCAGTGTGAAAGAAGGATGGGATCCACATCTCTTCCAGCACTCATATTCAACCATCGCTCAGCGGTCCGATACTTAACCAAAAAGTGCAGAGTCTTCAGCTCGGCACATCCACATCTATGTCTTCGCTCATGCCTTCCAATGCTGGGAAGGAGAATATTCCTCTATCCGAGCTCCCGGTCTTGTTAACAAAAATGAGCATCAGTCAGATGAATGAACATATTACACAAGTTATTCACAAAAGAACAAGATGTCACTTGTCCTGAACCTCTGGGTCTCCTTGTGGCTCATGACAGCAGCCATTAACGGTTCTTTAACAAAATCCCTTGTCTGCTCTGCTAAAACATCTTGTCTGTTGGCTCCGAGTCTCTGTGTTTTTGGGGACTGCTGCGTAATACAGGAATAAATGTGATTCAACAAGGACCATCGTTTATGGATCAATTTGTTGCCTATCTGCACCGTTGCACACAAGAGCCTCAAGAAAAGTATCTCGTTTTTGGTAGTACGTGATCCTCCGCAGTGATCTAATCATGTTAGCATTCCATTCTCCTGTAGGTGGGGCTCCCAGTCTCCAGTCACACATTTATTACTGTGAGTCTCTATTTTTTGAACCTTGGACCCGAATAAATTAACAGAATGGTACTTGTAGTTGTTCTTCTGTCGGATCACCAGTGATAATGATGGATTCAATATGCGCGATGTCTAATCAGACACTTTGGCCGTCTACCATTCTCTAATTGTATTGTTGAGTCATTTTCAGTGTACATTTCCTATTTCTCGGGCGTTGGAGTGAATCAGAGGCACATCTTGTTCAATTTAAATCTGTTGTCTCTGTCATGTTGCCAGGTTTCACAGATATTTAACACTCTGTCTGTGTCCTAATTTCTCTTTTATCTTGCGCCTGTGTAACTAATCCCTTTCATTTTGCCTTCATCCGATTGCTATCCTGCCACTTCAACTGATACAATTTCTGACATAAGTTGGTCCTCTCATTGTCTGGTTTACCCCAGACTTGTTGGAGAACCGGTTTATCCCACCAATGTCTTGATAAAACCAGCCATGTCCAGCCCAAATTCATCTTGTGTATTTACATAGGAACCAGAAGCACTCAGTTTCAAGATCTTGTTTGGCCCACAATAAGTGTTTGCTCATGGAGATCTCTCTCTCATCTAAAACCTTGCCATCATCCTGCACAACTCTTGTCTAAATTCTGCGTAATTCCTGTTCCTAAAACATTGGGTTACATTATGTTCACTTCATCCAGTTTTCACCCACGTTACCTGCATTCAACCCCCAAGAATTGTTGTGTCCCCTGTCTACTCTGCAGTGCGGCTTAATTACCTACGCCTCAAGCTTTTACCTGTCCGGACCCAATTGCAATAAATTTTAACTCATCGTTGATGGGTCTTCATTTGAACTTTGATTAGAAGACCCGGCCGTAGCTCGAAATACGTCGAACATTCGGAGTTGAAAGCCAAAATCACGTGTATTTCAAACTCCGCTTGACACTGCCATCAATATGAACCATCTTGAGCTCTTTGGGGTAACTTCGTGGCGACTATCAAGAGAAGTCAAAGCATCAACTAAAGATCTTGCTCGACGACCCCGTAACTCGAGGAATCGGGATCAAGGCGTCATCTCCACGGACAAGGGACCAGAAGGGACCGCTGCGACGTCGGAGCGCGTGAAAACGAGCTCCAGTTGACATTCGAAGCCGACACTTCTTTCTCTTCACATTTGACAGGCACTTCGACAACCCTCCCAAAAGGCACATTGCAAACCGAGGACGTTGGCCGCTGGACATTACAGGACCCCACGTACCCGCCCAGTCGCGTGAAGACTCGGACTCAAATGTCTGCTCCGATTTGGAGACATAACCTTTGCGTATTTCAAGACCATTTGGGCAAAAACGTCTTATTACCTCAAATCATTGTAATACAGCATCTTGGCAAGAAGCCGATTGATACGATTGTCGCAGCGATCGACGTTCCCAAACCTTGCGAAAGGCTCTCATGCGTCGCGCAGCCTCACATTGCTCTGGCTTGAGTGGTTAATCCCAAGTCCGCTCCTCCACGCTCGAGCAATTATTCATGTTTTAACTTAGCGAGATGCACAATTTCTTATCCATCGAAAATCACGTCGTCTCTTTGGCTCTCATCGAGTTCCTCGTACCGGTCTTCCGACGTCCTCAATACTAGATGATCGGCATTTAACTCTTTTGGGAAGTGCTTGCACCAAACGCGACGAATCGCTCGGGAACTTGGTCCAAATTATATTCGATGGCCCGCGGATTCCTGATGTGCCGCATTTCATGGCTCCGGGATTGTCTCGACGGCTGTCTGTCGGCCAGAAGAACCTTGAAGGCCGAGATTCACATTCAATTTGTGAAATCGCGTCGGCAGCTCCGTGATGGCCTGCGTTTTATGGCCAGTCGGAAACCGACTCCCGGGATTCACGTCGAATCTTCGGGTCGGGCCAGCTCCGGGATCCTCCTTCACCCTTTCGCTTTCGCAATCTCTCACTTCTTTGAAGGTCTCAATGCCTCGTTCTCAATACAAGAGGACGGTCAGATACTGCTAGCAAAGACATATTCAAACTGCTAACTTGCTCTTTAGGCGAGCAATCTGTCCACGAGCGCGCACGAGGTTCGCGTGCTGTCGTATCTTTTTCTTCTCTTTTCTGGCTAACATTGAGCTCAAGCCGCCACCCAGCAAGGTGTTGCGAGCTCGTGAGCGCACAGAGGAGGACGACGACGCTGTTTTCTTCGACCAGTCTGTGAGTTTTTCACGTTTACTTGCCACGATCTTGCGTTGACCACTGGCATATTCAGGCTTTCGGAAACTCTGTGCCGCCCATGGAACTGGATGCTGCCGAGCCCATGAGCGTTCGTTCTCTTTCCTTTCCGATCGTATAATTATCCTCAATGCGTAGCAGGTCCCGCCATCCGCTCCATCAACGTCCAAAAAGACTAGAAGAAAAAAGGCGGCAAGTCTTGACTCGGTAATTCTTTATTATGATCCTGATCGTGTCCTAGGATACTCCGACGCCGGCGCAGGATACGGGTGAATCAGCATCCAAGGTAGACATACATCTGATTAGCCTCCGTTGTACTTGCTGATTTTGTACAGCCGCACCGTGTCAAGGCCGCTGAAAAGCAACGAGCGAAGCGTGTTAGTCCTGAACACAAAGACGCGCAGAAGCAGAAGAAGATGGCCTCTGCATCTGAAGAAGACGAGCAACTCGCCGCCGAATGGTACTCCGAAACAAGCCGTCTTTTTGAGCACTCCAGATTCATCGACGCTCTCCTTAAAAAATGCCCGCCTAATGCGTCCGTCAAAGAGCAACGTCAAATGCTGCGCGATCTCTTCGAATTTGCTTCCAAGCAGGATCATCTCGAGTCTGTTCCTGCAGACAGTCCATTCTGGGCCGTCTTGGCATCCCTCGACTCTTTCACCATCACCTTCCTGGCTTCCCTGGCCCGTGGCTTGCACGAACAGGATATCCAAGATGCAATCGAAGCCGGCGTGTTGAGGCTGAGTCCTCCCGGCGATACGGCGCCGGTCCTGGGCTCTCTGATGTACCTTAGAGTCGGCACCTCCGAGAGCTCTCTCAACGCAGCAAGAGCGTGCCTCGTCGCTAGTCCTGCAGATTCTCCGTGGACGATTCTCAGGCTATTGCAGCTGGGCATGTCTCTGGAAGACGTGGCGACCTGCATTGAAGAAACGCTACGGCCTTTTGGACACGACAAGGCTGTTGGTCTGCTCTTCAATCGCCTCAAGAACGAAACACAGATAGGGAATCTACGAGTCCATCAGCACTGGTTGTGGACGTACGGCGGCACCAGTCATGACCAGCAGCCGTCTGGCCGACATGCGGACGATGTCAAGGCAGCGCACCTCAAAACCCTTCCCACTCGTTTTGGACGGTTTCTCCAGATGAACAAGTCTTGTACCTGGGACTGCTACGAGTTACTAGCACTGCGTTTGCTCGATTCGCCGGGAATTCGCTCCGACCCGGTTGCGAGTGCAATGGAACGTCTCGTGGTGGCTTTGCAGGGTGGCTGCGGGCTGAACTCGGCCGTCGGCGGTTTTTTCCGCCCATACGACCCCGAACCTACTCTCAAGGGGATGGTACAAGACGTCCATTCTTCATTCCCCGGTCCGGTTTTTGGTTCGCAAAGGGCAGACGTCTCGCAGATCGTGGCACTCTGTTTAGAGGACGAGCGAAGTTTTGAAACCCAGGCGGGCGGCCCGCGCATGCACGACGACGCCTTCAGAAGCGCGGTGAAGAACGCTGCTTCCGTTCTACGCTCGAATGGTCACAGCGTGCCTTTCTTGCGCGCCATGAAAGATGTGACAGTGGAGGCCTTCGTTGCGGGTGGTAAAGCAGTATGGGATGCCAATGCCGGTCCTGGTCCTCAGCTCTTCCGGCACCTCCAGTCCCTCCTCGACCCGGAACTGCGACGTGACGGCGATTTGACGGAAGAAGAGATTGCGGGCCACTTAGGCGCATCAGCTGATTTCTGGCGCGTTGTCACCGGTACCCCCAACTATTGGCGGCAAACCAAGTGGATGGAGCGTTTTCTGGTTCACGTAAAGCCCATCGTCCTCTGAACGTGGTCGAATGGTGTGCTCGCCGCCGTCGCCTTGGGCTCCCTGAGCCTTGTAAGCGGTGCCATACCTCGCTCAGTGCTGGAGATGGTGAACGACGGAACGACTCCCGCGGACATTGACCGCTATCTTCCTCCTCCTCACCACAACAAGTCCTGGTATCCAAAACTTGACGACAAAGGCTACTTGGATGCCATCGGGTTCCTTTTCATCGCACAAATCGGACCTGAGTCGACAGATCTTATCCTCGTGATTCCCAATCTTCACTGCGGTGTTTCAAAATATCGACCACGCCAATCTTACTTGGTCGAGGCGATCATCCTGACAGTGTGCGCGATTGAGCGCGTTGCCCTTGGTCACGTACAACGATTGCATGACGAAG